CTGACATTTGCGACGAGTTGTTGGACAAGAAGAGATTTGAATGTGATCCCCTTGCAGACGATGCCGTGTTAGCAGCAGTGAGAGATCGTGGTGAAAATGTCTTACGAAATCACGAGTTTTACAGCACCGTCAAAGAAATGGGAAGAACAGACTTAAGTTGTGCGAGGTTCATGGAATTTTATGAACAAGAGCCTCCGTGGAATGTAGAATGGAAGAGGTGCGAGTTAGGAAGACGATTCTTCGTTCGAAACAGTGGCATTGCTGGTCTTGTTCTTATGTATCGTAGTCTTGTCTCCTCATTCACTGCTTCACTCGGAAACAAGGTATTAGTTTCCAGGTATTAAGGTTACATAACAAACGTAGCTGGCGGGGGTCGAACATATAGCTGGAAGCATGTGACAAGCTCAAAAAACAGGAAGAAAAATTAATTTTCCTTTGTCAGCGTAAGCTTATATTAACTTACATTTAAACACCAGCTTGAAGTTATGAAGTTAAGAAATTGACGACAGTTTCTCATGCGTCATGTGTCTGTCCGCGTATTGACAATGAAAATTAGCCAATGAGCGCGCAAGAATTTCTGCAGGTTCAGTAAAATCTCTCTCTGATGATCTTTTATTTCTGTTGATGATGGATGGTGGAACATGCCTCAACACAATCAATGATATTTGCTTTCCATAGTTGATGATTTTCTTTATTATGAACATCTACCTGCTTGAAAATAAAGTGATACCATAGGAGAATTAAGATTGTGAGGAAAAAAATAAACAGTTCTATTGCAACGTTGAGGTCTTACATGCTAGATCGTCCAAGGACTGATCATGATTACAGTGCAATTTTTACACTGGTTTGTACTGAGGTGGTGGGAAGAATGTAAAAGCACCATTTACCCCTTTACAGAGAAGGAGTTTTCATTGAGGGCAGTTAAATATGGGTGTGTCTCGATCAACAAAGAAAATGAAAAAAAGTAGACCAAATCAACTTAACAAATTGAGGTCTGTTTTTCATATGTCTGTCCTGTTATTGATCACGAATTTCATCATAACATTGTCAAAGTAGCTGTGGATCCACGAGGCTATGATGCCTCGTGGATCTGTAGACTACCTTGACAATGCTATGATGGAATTCATTGTCAATAACATGATAGACCCATGAAAAACTGTTGTCAATTTGTTTTTTACAATAACAAATTGTCAAATTTTGAGCTCTCTGCTCATTGATGCATCGCATAAGTTGTAAATTCATGTGTCTGTCCGCTTATTGACAATGAAAATTAGCCAATGAGTGTGCAAGAATTTCTGCAATT